CTTAAGAGGAGAAAATAGTCTGTTACGCTATCTAAATGTTAACTGTTTCTGTTATTCTTTCTTTATTTCTTAAATTCCAAATTTCCCTATGGTTTCATTTCCATTCCCCCTTGAAGGATAGAATGTGTTTTAGACCAGGTCTACTGGTGGTAAATTCTCAGTTTACCTTCATAGGAGAACCTTTTTATTTTGTCCTTGTTCTTGAAGAATATTTTGACTAAAGAATTCTGAGTTGAAATTCTTTCAGCACTTTAAACTGGCTGTTAATAGAGATTTTTTTTTTCCTTTGTCTTTGGTTTTAGGCAGTTTGATTTTTTTTTTTTTTAATGTACATTGTTTTGGGTTTACTAGGCGTCTTTAATCTGTAACGAAATTGCTCAAAACAAACAAAGTTGAGAAGAGATGGTGTCTAAGGAGGAAATTCCAAAAAGTACGTATATTTAGGGGACAGACAGAATAGCTACCAAAGGAATTTAAGAAGGAGTTAGTAAGAATGAATGAAGATGATTAGAAGAAATAAATGTAGGTGTGATCTTGGGCAAGTTATTTAATATCTTTAAATCTTGATATTCTCATTTGTAAAAGCCATCAAAAAAATTAAATTTTGCCATTTGCAGTGACATGGATGGTCAAACTAGAGGGTATTATGTAAGCAAAATAAGTCAATCAGAGAAAGACGATTACCATATGACCTCACTAGTACATGGAATTTAAGAAACAAAACAGGATCATAGGGGAAGAGAGGAAAAGGTAAAACAAGATGAAATCAGAGAGAGAGAGAGAAACCATGAGGCTCTTAATCATAAGAAACAAACTGAGAGTTGCTGGAAGAGAGAGGGGTGGACATTAAGAATGGCACCTGATATTATGAGCTCTGGATATTATTTAACACTGATGACTCACTGACCTCTACCTCTGAAACTTAGTACATATAAATTAGTTGAATTGGGGTGCCTGGGTGGCTCAGTGGGTTAAAGCCTCTGCCTTCAGCTCAGGTCATGATCCCTGATCCCAGGGTCCTGGGATCAAGCCCCACATCGGGCTCTCTGTTCAGCAGGGAGCCTGCTTCCCCCTCTCTCTGCCTGCCTCTCTGCCTACTTGTGATCTCTGTCATATAAATAAATAAAATGTTTAAAAAAAATAAATTAGTTGAATTTAAATTAAAAACATTAAGAAAATAAAACAAGTCTTTTAAATTGTTCATTCTGAGGCTTAAACTTGGAGTATTCTTTTCTTTCTTTCTTTTTTTCTTTCTTTAGATGAGCGAGGACAAGTGGTGGGGTTGGGGGCGGTGATGGAAAGAGGGGGAAGCATTCTCCCTGCCAAGCAGTGAGCCCAGTGCAGGTCTCGTGCTTCATCCCAGGACCCTGGGATCATGACCTGAGCTGAAGGCAGATGCTTAACCAATTGAGCCACCCAGGCACCCTACTGAGAGTATTCTTACACTATTTCTGCACATTTATATTATTTTGTTGTGGATTCAGAAAGAGTGGCAATAGCCACAATTAAAAGTTTTTAGACAAAATCAGAAAACATTCATTTACTCTTTCTGAGCTTCAGCTTTCTCATTATAAACAACAGTAAGATAGTGTTTACATCACACTAGGATGTAAAGTCATTTAATGACTTTGAAATTTCTTTGGATAAAAGTTTTAAGAGTCACAGGAAGCACCTTAAGGAAAACAGTGCACTGTCCAGTGTTTATGCTGGGACAGAAAGAGTGAAGATGGAGAAATGGAAGGGAACAGTGTTATAGTGTAGTCACTCAAGTATCATTTTCATACTACACAGGCTGTGTTCCCCCTTCCTTCTGCATGCTCTCCCTCCTCCCAGTAATTGGACCTAATAGAATCTCTAGAGGAGTAGTAAGTAAGAATAGCCTGAATTATTTCATCCATCCACATTTCCCATACTCCATCCAACCCAGTCATGTTAAGAACTGATGTAATCTGACCATCTGCAACATTAGGTAAAGAAATCCAAATATAATAAGATGAAATAATCATTTTTTTCATGTTAAAAGTATTAATCTCTTGGTCTACTTTATGTATTTGCTTATAAACGGCAGAAATTCTCAGTGTGTGCCAAGCTGTCCTTACATGGTATACCAAACCTTACATGGCTACCAAAAATGTGCATGTACATGGTATAATATTTTCCAAACTATAACAAAGAGCATTCAGCGAAAACACAGATCTGTTCCATCTTTGCCATCCTCCGATTCTATGTCACATAAGCAATCACTTTTTAAGTTTTAAGTTAACTTTTTAGTTCTTTTAAGTGTTACTCTAGTAATTTGAAATGCAGCTGTTGAATTGAAATGTGCAAAAATTGTAAAATGCACACCAGATTTTGAAAACTTAGTATGAGAAAGGTAAAATGTCTCAATAATTTTTGTATTGATTACATGTTGGAATGATGCAATTTTGAATGTATTTTATTAAAATAAATATATTAAAATTGATTTTCCTGGTTTCTTTTGATTATTTTAAGAATAATTAAGATTGGTGGGTGCCTGGGTGGCTCAGTGGGTTAAGCCCCTGCCTTCGGCTCAGATCATGATCTCAGGGTCCTGGGATCGAGTCCCAAGTTGGACTCTCTGCTTGGCGGGGAGCCTGCTTCTTCCTCTCTCTCTGCCTGCCTCTCTACCTACTTGTGACCTCTCTCTGTCAAATAAATAAAATCTTTAAAAAGAAGGATAATTAAGATTGTTAACTGTTAAAAAATTTTAAATTGTACGTGTGGCTCACATTTATTGCTCACATTATATTTCTTTTGGACAGTGCCACTCTAATTATTAGTAAGCATGTATTTCCCTTAGTTGATGTACCAAGTTTACTCATGAGATACCTGATTCTAGTCTAATTCTCATAATTTTATAAAGGACCAAGGTTTTTTCTGGAAAGTGTTAGGATTTTGTTATTTTTGGTATTCTGAAATTCCATAAGCATATACTGAATTGTACATAGTTTTTGTTCATTTTGCTTATTAGAAGACTTGGTAAGCCCTAGTAAGCCCTAGCTTGTGTTACTCTTTTTTTTTTTTTTTAAGATTTTATTTATTTATTTGACAGAGAGAGAGATCACAAGTAGGCAGAGAGGCAGGCAGAGAGAGAAGGGGAAGCTCCCTGCTGAGCAGAGAGCCGGATGGAGGGCTCCATCCCAGGACCCTGAGACCATGACCTGAGCTGAAGACAGAGGCTTAACCCACTGAGCCACCCAGACGCCCTAGCTTATGTTACTCTTCAAGCTCTGAGAAATTTTCTACTAATATTTTTGGATTATTTCCTCCATGTTCTTTTTCTTTTTTAAAAAATTTCCTTCCGGTTTCTGAATGAGAAAAGGTTTTGTATGATATTAGACCTCTAGTATTTAAAGTCTCTGTTTTTCTATAATTCTCTTTTACATTTTCTATTTTCCATTCTGTGGTCTGTTTGGCTGTGGTCCTGGGAGGAAACCTTATCCTAACCTTTTGACAGTTTTGAAAAAAAATGGGATGAGATGGGGCACCTGGTGGGCTCAGTCAGAGGAGCATGTGACTCTTGATCTAGGGTCGTGAATTCGAGCCCCAAGTTGGGTGCAGAGATTACTTAAATAAATAAAACTTAAAAAAAAAAAACTAAACACAATCTTAGTTGTCTACAACTCTCTCTTGTTCTCTGTTCTTTTGTCATAGAAGTGTGTTCTGCCTTTATGACGGTGCTCTCTTCTTAAATATATATGAGGTTTCAAATTAGATTTGTGGGGTGTTTTTTTTTTTTTTTTAATTTCTTTGTTTCCTGATTTACTTCGTTTTACAGTCAGTGGTTTATTTTGTTCAGGGCAGCCTTCTAGAAGTGAAAGACATTTTAAGATTTTATTTATTTATTTGACAGAAAGAGAGAGAGATCACAAGTAGGCAGAGTAGCAGGCAGAGAAAGGGGGGAAGCAGGCTCCCCACTGAGCAGAGAGCCCGATGCGGGGCTCCATCCCAGGTCCCTGGGATCATGACCTGAGCTGAAGGCAGAGGCCTAACCCACTGAGCCACCTAGGTGCCCCGAAACACATTTTAGATAAGGAAAATATCTAACCAAATGTGTAGAAGCAGAAATGCAGAAAGCTTCCTCTGGGAGCAGTGATAATCTGATCATTGTAATACTGTGGCCATAGTAAGATAAGGGCCTAAACTAGCATGAATACAGTGAGAACCAAAAGAAAAGAACTGGGCAATTATGCAAGAAAAGCAAGTGTAATTATGAACTGATTTCTCCACTCTAAAAACTCCCACAGCACTGCCTCATTGAACTAGTTATATTCTCCCTTGTAGTGTTAATTATTATATGCGTATGTCTTTCTAACTAAATTGTGACTCTTCAGGGCAGGGATTATATCTGACTCATTAACTTATAAGTATTTATTGATCAAGCGCTATGCCAAGGGCTGGGAGAAAGCTGTAGTCAAAGACAAATAATCCCTGCCCTCAAGGATAGTTAATTAGTTGTATCTTTCACAGTGCTTAGAATTAGATGCTAAGTATTCCCAGAGAAAATATTTGTTACTTAACCTTACTTTAAAAGGTAATATTAAGATGGTCTATTTGTATCTGTTAGGTATATTGCAAAATTTGATATTAAACTGTTCTCGTTTTAAATCGATACCAAAAATAATTATTATGCATTCAGATTGAACTAATATCCTTCACCTTATTTAAAGGTGATATAACATATTGATATAATGAAAACAACCCACCCTTGAAAGAGTCCAACGTTCTAGTCATGAATTTTTATCCTCCTTATCTTCTCAGAGCCTCACTTTCTCATATGTAAAATGAAGTTTAGATCTTTTAGCACTGACACTTTGAATCCCAAAGTGGAAAAATTTTTCATTCCCATAGCCTTTGAGTATTGTTGTGGCTAAACCATCTAGTCTATTTAATTGAATGATTGGAAATGACAGAGAGCTGTCATTTCATGTTTTATTTGAGTTAGGATCATTTGACTAATGGTTTTTTCTCTTTTACAGATTTGGGTCTTGATCAATATACAATAAAACGCTTTGATGGAAAGGTGAGCGAACTATGACACTAATATATATATCCTGTTGTTTACTAAGAAGATTTTGAAGTTCCTCTAGAATTATTTGTGAGAAATTTCTGAATGCCTGTTTATCTTATCAAAAGAGCGTGTTTCTTAGGTTGGAAGGCCTATAAGCGCCTTCACATGCTTCTACAGAAAAAGTCAAGCAGAAGGTTTTTCTACGTTTTTCCATACAAGGTAACACTCATGGGTACCTGCTGTATATAGTGAGGTCTAATTCAGTGTATGTTGACATTTGCATTTTAATTCAGTTGCCATCATAAAGTTTAACAAGCCCCCCCGCCCAGTATTACATTTGCATTTCTTATAAAAATACTTAGTTGATCTTCCTCAAACTTTGACACTATATAGCAGTAATCCTCACTAGAAAATTATATAAGTTTTTAGTAGTGCTTTTATAATAATTATGAAGGCCACCCCAATTTGCACATACATTTGCATTATACTTTCAACTCTTATTTTATGCACAAATAAATCACATAATAAATTGTTCTTAAGTATAGAAAATGAAACTTTCAATTTTATTGTCTTAAAGCAGTCAGTTAAACATGTTTTTCCCTTTCAGGCTGAGTTCTACAAAAAGAAAAAGAAAATATTGCACAGGGTCAGAAAGAAAAGTAAAAGGTCAATTTTAAAGAGGAGGAAGAAAGCACATCAGAAAGAAGAGAGAGCCCAGGATGGCTCTACAAAGCTTAAAGAGAAGGAAATCAGAAGGAAAATCATGCAGTGGCTGGAAAAGGCAGGATCTCAAAAGAGGGTCTAAATGGATAGAGGTCAGGGTTAGTAGAAACTGATCTTGCAGGAATATGTCGATCCCGCATCATTACATAAAACTCTATGTACTGGTAAGGTGAAGATACAAATGCTAAGATCTTTTCCACAGGTGGAAAGAATGAGTGCCCATCTTAAGAGATGAGAGATCTCAGTCAAGGCTTCCAGCCTAACAATTTCCTTTCCCATTCATATGGCCCATTGTCTCCAGCTGGGTATCCTCTTTTTAAAATCACATATTCTAAAAGAAAAAATGTTCAAAAAGAGCATTGAACTAGAATATTAGGAGACAGGTTCAGAGCTGGCTCTGCTTTGGGGCAGCCACATCTTTGATTCTTGGTGTCCCTGCCTCATGTATAATCAAGTACCATATCCATGTGAAGGTTTACTTCAGGAACTGATGTCAGGGTCTGATTTCAGAATCTCTGGCAAATCAGGCCCCTGTTTTTATCTGTCTGTGTGTCACTCAGAGTCCAGCATATGTCTGCCTTACAGGAGGGCACCAATAAGCATTTGACAACTTGGAAAAATCAACTAATCAATCACATAGTCTTGGGAGATATGACTCATTAAGTCAGCAATATGTTCTAGCAAGATCAGTCTAACAAATGACAGTTTTTGGTCACTGGAGGAATTCGGAGTGGTATGAGATTTTTGTCTTCCATCATATGTATATGTATATAAACCTAAAAACACGGAAAGAAGTTGAATACATGTAAATTGAACAGCACATTTACCTGTTACAGGGGAATTTCCATTCCTAGAGGTCTCCCAAATGTAAAATCTCTCTGGTGGTCACTCATGTTTCATAAATGCCAATTAAATTTTTCATTTCAGCCTGTACCTGTACACTTGAGGCTAAAAATCTGCAGCTTTGGGCATGACCACTAAGCTCCGCTTTTGTTTCAGTCATATTCAATTTATGAGCTCTATATTTCCTCCCATTAGTGTCCTGTGCATTTTTCTGATTTCCACGTATTTTTATAAAATAACAGAAGTAAACTGCGATAAAGCATTATAAACATTTGAGTGCCCACCTTGCTGTAGAGACCAAAACGGCAGTACTTCTTTGTTTGGAAGGCAGACTTTGTGACAGATTGTAGTGCAGATGTTTGGGCTCTTAAGTATAAAATTTTGAAATGGGAGTAGGAAAACAGAATTTAGGGATCTCAGCGTGTAATGTTTGAAAGTATGACTTATATGAAATTCAGGCAAATGAAAGTTGACTTTATGGTACCAGGGGAACAGGTTCTGCAAGAGAATAGAGGAATGGCAGACTCGCATAGGGGTAGTATAGAACTGAGCCAGCTTCTCCCCTAGCAGAGAGCGCATGGATTTTCCTTTCATCCATGTTATGATATGCATATTTAATCCCTTTGCCAGGTACTTCATTTAAATACTGTATTAATTTCCATCAAATAGATCTTGAAGGTTATGTTTCTTAAGTAGGGTTTTTAAACCGAGTTCATCTCTAGTTTACATCTTTATGAATAGGTTTTTATTTCTTATGAAGTTTAAGAGAGTAGTTTCTCTGCTATTTTTAAACCTTGTATAATGAGAAATACAACATTCATTTAGGGTTGAATCAGTTTAGAAGTTTTCCAGGGATTTTTGCCCTCTACCTGTGATATTTGTGATAAGGATCAGTGCTTATTCAACTGTCGATCTTATTATTTTCCTTTAGATCTTCAGATCTCTCATTCTCTCAGTCAGAATATCTTAATTCTTAAGTAGCAGCTTCTAGAGTATATAAATCATAAGACAGTTTCCTCTTGAAAAAACCGATTTGTGTAGTAATTATAATAAATTTTATGCAGGATGCCCAGAAATTTAGTCCAAAGCTAATACCCTAGAGGAATTTCCTTTTAAGCTTGCTTTGATTTTTAAATTGGTCATTTTCTCTCTTGTTTTAACTTGAAAGATAAACTAGTTATGAACTACTTATCATGTCTTATCGCGTCTTCTCATCGCCTCCCATTGTTTTAACTTTTAACACACCATTTAATAAAGTGCATCATTTGACCAGTAAGTAACACTGTCATATTTTGTTATCTTTTAATTGAACTGCAGTTTAACCTTGTTGTCATTGAAAGTAAGAACAAATGTAGAAATAGTATCATTTTGCAGTTTTCTCATTTGTGTTTGAATTTCATATAACCTCTAAATGCAAAGTAGAAGGCCCAACTGATACTGAGAAATAATTGGACAGTTATTTCTTGTTTCAGTGCCTCTCATCTTTTCTCTTCTTTTATTTGACTAGAAGATGCCCTTAAGTAAAATGAAACATTCCTGTTTCAGCTGATAGTGAAACTGAATTTGATGAAGCAGCGTTTGAATTCGGGAGAGGATCTTTTTTCAGAGCCCATCACTACCTATTACCTGAGAGTAATTCTTTACTCTCAGTAGCAGTTTCCTTTGTAGAAAAGTCATGAAATATGTTATTATTGGCACTTGCATCATTTATGCATTTCAAAACTATCTACTAACACAGGCCTTGTTTAAAGAGGCAATAGTGTCCCTTCATTTTAAGAAAATGCTTTGTAGATTGGTGATACTTTAAAAGGCATTCAGACTAGGTTTTGAAAGTTCAAAAACCTCAAAGCTTGAAAGTTCAGATTTTCTCTTAAAGGGTATTTGACTATCACTATAGAGTACTAGCACTATTATACAGATGGTAATACAAAATACAAAATGACTGATATATGTTTTAGTGTCATATATCATAGATCTTTTAAAAAAAAAATCACCCTCCCCTTGTAATGTCTGTGCATTCTATGATTTGTTAATGCAGTTACTTCATGAAGTTTAGGTTATTTCTTTAATGAAAACTATGTTTTTTTCTGGGTTTAATTTTTTTTTTTTTTTGTACTGGGCTTCATTTTTTTGAGCTTCATGGGTTTAATTTTTTAATCACATAATAAGTGGTCTATAAAATAAAGCATCATTTGTAAGTGGAGCCTTTATAATACATAATCATCAAACATATCTTTCATTTAATGATTTATTTGCCTTTTTTATTGGTGTGGCTTATCTCAAGTTGTTATACCCTTTATTTTCCTGTTTTTCTTAGCCCTCCCTTTTTTCCCTTAGCATATCAAAGATAGAAATTGTTTTGGATTTTCTGTTCCTGTTGTATGTAATAGACAACACTCTCTGGACCAGACACCACCATTTTTTTTTTAAGTTACAGCAGAAAACTACATAGTCTAGGTAAAATTGTTTCTTAAGCAACTAATACCTGTATTCCAGAGTTCTGACTTCTCTCCTCGAAAAACTTTATAAAGCTCATACTCTTTGTCAAGTAACAATGAATTGCCCATTGAAACTAAATTGTTAACTGTTAACATTTTACTATGTATTTCTTTTTCAGAAGATAGATTTTGTAATGCTTCCTTCCCTATCAAATTCCCTTTTCCCCCAACCACTCCCTGAACATGTCAGAAAGCTTGCCTCTAGTCTGCATTTTTCGTTACTCGTATTTACAGTACCCTTAGAATCTCTCCAGTGTGGAAGAAAGAGTTAATGTGTGTTTCATTCCTCTCTCTTTTATGATACCTACAAGAATATTTGTATACATGGTACAGAAAAAAGGTTTTACATCAAATTAAAATGACGTTATTTTTAAAAAATGACATGGTCCACATTCAGGTGGAAGAGATGAAATTATGGTCAAAGCCTAGAAAGGGAAGTACTGATTACAGTGTTTATAACAGAAAAAGTTACCAGCAGAAAAAAAAAAAAGGATGGGAGCCATAGTTAAATGTCAAGTTTTAATATAACCAAATGCTTTAATTGCTTACCAGGTAAAAGTTCTTTAAAAAATATTGATAAATGAACTTTAAAATGATATTCCCCTAAGGGGAATGTGAGCATATTTTTCCTTATAACATAATACTCTTAATGCTTTACTTAAGTTGTTTATTTACTTCATATCATAGATAAGATCTTAGTATAGAATAAGGGCAAGTATATTACTTCTTGACATGCATAGTAATGTGAAATGTATTGTAGATCAAGGAAATGTAAATTAGGAGAGGGGAGGGACTGAAATTTCCTTGGGACAAGAGTTTGATGAATCTTCACATTTATTTGAACTGTTCTAGTTCTGCTCACATTTATATAGCAGGTTATGTTATGAGTTCTGCATTGTTCCCTAGGCATATCTTCCTTTCTCTTTCAGTTTCCAAAGATGAAACTAGTCACGTCTAAATTCTTGTTGAATTCATGTATTTGTTCATGTTTTTCTATTAATAAATACAAATATATAGACAGAACTATATTATTTTTTCACCATGTTTCTGTTTTTATTTGCACTACCAATTCCATCTTCACAATAGAGTATATCACCTCTGTTGTCTTTCTTTTATAGTAGGGAAATTCTTGTTTTAAAAAAAGGTATAGCAGATTCTAAGAGAATGCATAGGTTTCCCCCACTGTCTAAAAGTAGAGCATTTCTATGGAAGCTTTCATTAAGCTGAAACAGCATAAAGCAAAAGAACTACTACCATTTTCATAAAAGTAAAAATCCTCTTTGGATTTTTCTCAGCTAGCAAAAACACGTATCAGCATAGGTCTTTCATAAAAAAGAAGTGGTATAAAGCAACTTTCATATAGCAGAGAACCTATAATTCCTGGAAGCTTGACCTTCTCCATGTGAATTTCATATTCATGTATTTATTTTAAAGCTAAAGATTTAACCCATTTTAAAAACCACATTAACATATTCACTCATTGGTTGTCAGTTGTTTATTTTTACAATTTAAAGTAAACTCTCTAAATGAAAAACACTTGACTCTATTTACCCCTTCAGGAATTATTACTAATAATAACTATGAAGAAGAAGAATAGTTGAAGCTTTCTGAGAGTTTATCACCTGTTATACTCTTTTTTTTTTTTTTTGGTTTTGGTTCCATGTGCAATGTGGGGCTTGAACTCATGACCCCCAAGATCAAGATTCTCATGTTCTGTACTGAGTCAGGCACTCCTACACATTGTTTTAAGTGCTTACATATAACTCATTTAATCCACACAGCTACTCTTTCAGATAGCTTACTACTTTTATCATTATTTTACAAATAAAAAACTACATAATTAAGTAACTTGAATTTTTTTGTGTGTGGACCTAAGATCATATAAGCTAGTGGGTAGTAGAGGTATGATTCCAAATTTGTAGTCTGGCTTCAGCGTTCACGGTCTTAAGTACTGTGATATCTTATTTGTATATCTAAGCAATTTGTCTATATGATCTATTTGTAAATAGGAATTTCTCTTGTTGAGTAGTCATTTTAATACCTTAATGCCATTTGTGCAAAAGAAAACTCCTTGTATTTCACTTTCTTTTTGCTAAGCATGTTGAAGTTAATTTTTTCTGCTTTAGTGAAGTACAACTAGAAACCCCTATTAACTTGAGAAACCACATAGTGTTTTTAAAGAAAGAAAATATAAGGAATATATAAATTTTAATACTTAAGTTTAAGAATCAGAATTTCAACTTCATTTTTGTTTGCTCCATTATTTTCTCTTACACCACAAACACCACAGGGCATTTTGAAAAATGCTTGTCTTTTCTTTTTACTGAAACAATCTCTTAAAGTGTGCTTTGTCATCTATATCTGAAAAATTGGATCCTGGCTCATTGTCATCAAGATATTAGAGAAAATAATGTTCCTGTTACAAACTATACTTTCAAATATTGATTGGTTGTATGTTGGATGTAGCATCATTTGAATAGGGCCACTTACTATAGTGAGTCTTTAAACAAGCAAAAGTTTAGAATGTAATTGCATTACCAAGGAACTCAACACTTCTGCTTCAGCATTTCAAGAAATCCTTGGACACCTGTTGCAGTTTTCTGTTTTCCTTTTAGTCTGTTTGTTCATCTTTCTTCCTTCTCATCCATAGTTCTCTAAATTATTTTTAAACGATTTTCTCAATTTTTTCTCTTACAAATTAGCAAATTTAATTCTTTTTTAACACACTACATCCCTAAGAAGATCTGGCTTTGGTGTCTCAAATATTTTCCAAGGGATTTCCATTTTGAGCATCTAAGTATTTGACAGATGTGTGAATTAGTAGATGTTGTAAATATGCTGAACTTGAGTATGAAAAATACAACATTATGGATTGCTGTACTTCTTAGTATGTAATAGCACAGGATGAAAAGAGTGTGACTTTGGATATGACAGTTCTATATTCATAAATGGGCTCTGCCACATACTTGATAGGTAACCTTGGATAAGAGACCATTTAACCTCTAGTATCAGTTGTCTTCTCAGTAGAATCAGGACAATATGGTAAAGTATCTGGCTCCACAAATTATAGCTACTTTCCATGACTTTGAGCCCTTTACTCAGTTTATAAAAGGAGTTTACTGCTGTCATACATATTATCCTCTTGGTTTATATGAAATGCTACAGAATAACATCTCCTGTGCCTAATTGCTCTCTCCATGCTAGTTAAATCAGCTATAAAAATCTCCTTGAGCTCTCTATAAGGAACAGTTGGCTGGGATTAAATAGCTAGTCCATGAGCTAAAGAGAGACCTGTGGTTTGTTTTCTCATATCTGAGCTGTCATTTGTTCACAGTGATTCATCTCACCCTTGTGTTGTAAAATGCTCTGGGCCTCTGTCACATCAATCCCAGCCTTAAGTTTGTAAGTTGCTAATAGCATATATTTCTCAGTCAAGAACTTTTATCACTCTGCTAAGCTTGTTTTGAAAAGTATGGTAAGTTTGGGTTGAATTTTATTTCACAGTGAAATTCATTTGTTGAAAAAAAAAAATCTTTAAGCCCATTTGATAGATGAAGATATTTTGGAGTGGTGTGCCCAGCTAAATCAGCTATCCTACACTGCTTAATCACATGCCATCCTCCATGGTGGCTGGCTTTTTATCACTAATGTGAATAGTAATTCATTTAGTGAACATAATTTTGCAGGAGTCCTGTTTTTAAGTAGTCATTCTGAGCTCTTCAAGTAGTTACTAATCCTTTAAATAGATCTGAGTTTGGTTGCCTGTATTTTATTATGGGTGGTAAATCAGCAGATTTGTTATGAAGTTTAAAAATACTATATCCATGAGACATCCTAGTAAGAAACCTTAATTAAAGAAATGCTTTGATTTCCAATGACAGAAAATGAAATGTTGCTTTCCCATTTCTTTTAGAAAGAGATTATTATTCATATGTTTCCTTTTTATAATATTACGAAGTTTTTCTACTGTTGTGTGTTTCATTTGGGGGAAGTTAGGAATTGAGGTGTTGGGGTTTTTGTTTTATTATACCTAGCAGATAATATATAAAACATTTCTATGTATTCTTCATTTCCTGTTTCTAGGTGTTCAGTGACTTTATTACAGATCTAAATTCGTCCTTATATGTTATAATACTTTGTGATATATATGTCTGATCTTTGGAGTTTTTGTTCATGTAATCAAATGATGTCCATTTTTTTTCTTTTTCTCATCTTCTGATCAGGATTTCTGGCAGGTACTGACTCAGCAGCATGTGCTTTAAATTAATTAATGTTCCAAAATCCATAGTAATGCTTCAGGGACAAAGGTTCAGTGCATGCTCATGTCCTTCCCCTGCTCCTTTCAGAATGATTCAGTTCCTGTCACTTTAAATCAACATATTTTATATTTAATATGACAATTCCAACACTGCACTGGTCCTTGAGAATATAATACCTAGCATGATTTAAAAGGAAGTTTTAACAGTATGTGTTAGGAAGGTCAAGGAACTGTTACCACTGTGTTGTATAAGGGATACTCAGTTAATTGGGCCATTTGACTAGTCTTACTTAGTTGGATGTCATGTTCTTAGTTAAACTGTAACAGGAATGGTGAGGCAGCAGTAATTTCAAGTGAAAATTAATCTTTCTTTTGAAATTTCTTCGATGATACAATACAAATAAAGTAGCTCTTCATTCAATAAAATGTCTTCATAGGAAACGGAACATTTAGAAAGACTGCATTATTTAGCTTTTTGAGCTAATCAACAACTTTACCTTGGAAAAGTAAGCAAATACATGAAGAAAATAATGAAAGAGAATATATAGATTGTAATCTGGCAAAGGAGAATTTCAAGGATTGGCCTAAGAAGTATTTTTTAAATTGATTGTTGAAGACTTAGACTCTTGAATTATAATTTATAAATTATTAAAATATTTATTTTTAAAAAGACATTACTCTTGTATTGCTTAATAGAAATAGAAACTAAAATAAATTAGCATATCTTTGGTTTTAAAATAATGATATAATTAACGATAACACAGTGTGCTCTTTATTTTTATGTAACATTTTTCCTATGCTTCCTTTTTTTAAAAATGGGATATATTTTTAGTAGTCTACTTCCCAAACCCCAAACCAATTGTCCTGTTTTTGGTGCAGTTGATGAACTTTTGCCTTTCAGTGCAGTCTGAAACAAACCAATGAATATTTGAATAATTATGTCAAAATAACTTATTGATAATCCCAGTATCAATGTTTCTAAACCTGGAGATGACGTTTTAGAATAGCTGTGGCACAACCAGTCTATGTGTAGTGCTAAGAAGAGTAAATCAGATAAGATACTTAACACCTGTGATTGAGGAAGGCTGCTTCTACTTCTGTAATTGTGGCAGGACAATTTGTAGGAGGCATCTAAAAACTCTTCCTTTCCTTTGATGGTTGTATGGCTTAAGGCTTGAAAATTTAAAATGACTTGCCTCACATAGATACCCCTATTAGGGAATGAGAAGAGAAAAGAGGTGGGAATTGATTAAGTGCTTTGAAGTCTCTGGAATCTGCAGCATTGGGTAATCAGCCACCATAGTTGACAGAAGAGCACTGGTCTTTAAATTTTGACCCTCGAAGGTGATATCATTTGTTGAGTAAGGATTTCAAAGTCAAGTTTTACTATTTTATTAAGAATATTTTGTGAATAAGTTTTTTGTATTGAAAATAAGAAACTTTTTTTTTCATAGACTAGGTAATAGGGGATTGGTTATCTTTATCACTGTAATATCACTCATTTTGGTGACACTAGCATAAATCCTTTAAGCTTCCAAAAGTCAATGAGCAGTTACTTTATAGAAGAGAGCTTTCTTGCTTGCTTCCTTAACAGGAATTTGTCCTTTGCATGCTAAGTTCCTATTGCCTGTGGAAAGGCTGGAATCATTTTGTTTTTCTGGTAGCATAGAGCTCTTCAGATGCAGCTTATGAATGGTGTGATATAATTATATTGCTGTGTGGAGTTTTCATAATGTCTCTTTCCAGTCTCTGAGTTCCACCACTGCTAAAGTCTGTTGATTTAATTCATGTGTTTGATTATTCAAGTTTAAAAAAGAAATGATAATCATTAAGTGCTCCTAAGGAGGGTGTAGTTTACTTGGTTGCCACAAATATTCAGACATCTATTGATATGCTTTCTTACATTTTTATTTTACATTGTTTTATTTGAACTTGGGGCCAACAACCCATTTGATTTATCATTGTTGATTTGAAAGCATAAACATGACTACACATTATATTTCTAACACCTTCATGTTTCACTTTCCCATCATGAAACAAGATTTGAAATACACTTTGACATGGGAGGACTTGGTTCCAGGTAACTTCTTTGTCTTTTTATTTTAGCATAAATACATATCATGTTCTGAGGTTACACAAAGGAAAGATACTCAGAACATTTTATTTCTCCTGTTCCAATAAAAATGGGTTCTCAACTTAGCCTAAACATCTGTTGATGATCTTTGATTGCAGAGAATGTGTGAGGATAGCTTTTGCTTTGCCTATTTTTCTTTGTCATGATGCACTTTTTTAAATCCCAAACTTAAATAAAAAGATTTTCCAGTTACAGATTAGTCTAACATCTATTAATTAAGAAGAGCATAAAGAGCCATTACATTTTTGAAATGATACTCATTTTCAAAATGATGAAAATACACATTTGAACAAGTCAAGGCATAAAAATACATTGTGCACCTACATTGTTAACTAGACTTTCCTCTTCAAGATAACCGAGCTGATACAAGCTAAGCCCCAGGATTAATATTGTACAATAGTGAACTCTTGTTTTGCTTTGAAAATATTCAGCCCCCATTAAGGATGACATCTTAATTTAAATAATAAACAGTTTCAGAAGTTGGAAGTAATTCTCTTGCATTTGATACAATATAACATATAATGGTTCTGGAGTCAAACTATGACCTATCCTGCCATTTTATAGCATCGTAAGCTACCACTACTTATTTAATTTCTCTATACTTCAGTTTTCTCTTCTGTGGAGTGCAGATAGTAGTATTACGTATCTCATAGGATTGCAGTGAGGGCCTAAAGAGGTGTATGTAATTCAAGTGCTTACTTAGCACAGTGCCCAGCATGAAATATGCAAACTATAATTTTTATTAAATTCTTAATATATCCTTGATGGTCAGTGGTGTTCAAGGGATACCTGTAAGTGTTCAAAGTGATGTAAAAATTGTTCATCTTACAACCTTCCTGGGAAATGGTAGTTATTAGAACAGTGTCGAAAGGTTAGTGATCCTCAGAGGGAAACTCTCAGTTTTTATGAAGTGATTTTTTTCTTGTAATAATTTTTTCCAAATGGGAGAGAGTAGATGCTGCATTTACTGACTTTTCAAAATTTTTGAGGTGGTTTTTCCATGAACAGGGAAGCCTTTTATAACCCATGTGACTGAAACCAAGACTGCTGCTGAGTCCACAACTGAGCTTCTCTTCAGTGCTGAGCCTTCTCTTCAGTACTGATTGATTTGAGTGGCAGAGTTCAAAGTTAAATTCTTAGATTTAGGTAGCAAATAATCAATAACAGTAAAACATAGATTCTCCCACCCACTGCTGCTTTGAAGCAAGTATGCGGGCATAATGTGGTAGGAAATAATAGAGTTGACAGTTTTCCTTTTCTAAGGTTTTGCTAACACCTCATCAGATAGCAAAGACTGAAATAAATCCCTTCGGTAATGTTGTCTCACTTCCTTGAAGTGAGTGTTATTCCAGGAGACTTAAAATTTTTTAATCACTGCTTTAATCAAATCTTCTGCCATCCTTTTTTTAAGCATCTTCATTGTGTCCATTTTCTCTATAGCCATCTAGTTTTAATGAACTAGGAAAACATTTGCATGATAGGTATTTGGAGTTGTTCTCAGAGCTAAAGTGGTTAGAATTGGGACTGAAAAGAGAATGGCTTTCTGGCAGCGTGAGGTTTATGGTATCTTAAGCATTCACCTTCCACAGTTTGTTGCACAGTCATTTCTGTTTGTCTGTCTCAAATGCTCTATGACTTTTGAAAAGGTTGCAAACTTTGAGTCAGGAGATGTTCTAAACTACTCTAAATTAGAAACTTCTTAATTTTATCTGACACATCCTCAACTCCTACCTTTCTGCAAGTTCAGGTATGGGAAAGGGAAGGAAGAATACATTTTTAACTGTGCAACATTTTCTGTTTGATTGGGAATAGTGTGATTGTTTAAGATGGATATCTTACCAAGGCTTTGGCATCTATGCACCAATTAAATAATGAAGTATGAACATTAATTGCATGGGGAAATTGCCAAATTTTCTAACATGCTTCCCCTCCCTGCCCCAACCCCAGCCTTATGTAGAAATACTTTTTGTCATTTGGAAATGATAGGTCAAAATTGCATTTTCTGGAAGAAGCATATTATTATTTAGATAGATTTTGATTTAGATAGACTTTGAAATGTATATCCATCATCTAGGGAAATGTTAATTTTAAAACAATCCAGTTTTCTCAGTCTCATAAAGGATGACATCTTAATTTAAATAGTAAAGCTGTGTTATCAGGTTTTTCTAGAAACCAGAGATGATTTGAGGTTCTAGAAGATATATTAGCATCTGTTTTGCTGACATAGTCCACCAACTACTATTTGATAGAAAGTTTATTTCAAACTGATTGAAATTTTATCAAAATTGAAAAATGGGTTTTAAACTAGAATAAATAATGGGATTAAACTCCTAGATAGGATTTTTCTTTTTGGCTTCATCCTCTTGAGTCTTAAAAGGCAAAATTATTGGCCCTATTTTGATCAACCCTATTAAAGTTAGGATTCACTGAGCATATTGAGTATTAATGAATTTGAATCATGATGGGAACTCCCAGTCCCAAGAAGGCTCCTAATGGCACCTGGAACTTTGGCAGTGTTATACAAGTTTATGCGATTAGTCAGAAACCAGAGCATGGATGCTTTAGCACAAAACCATCCTGGTAAAACAGTTCAGTTTTTTTGTTTGTTTGTTTAAGTTATTTATTTTAGAGCAGCATGCACATGAGCAGGAGGGGGCGCAGAGAGAGAGGAAGCAGACTCCCACTGAGTGGTGAGCCCAGTGTGGGGCTCAGTCTCAATGACCCCGAGATCATGGCCTGAGCGAAACCAAGAGTTGTGTCCTTAACTCACTGAGCCACCCAGGTGCTCCAAACAGTTCAGTTTTAGACTCATTGAGAGGTATAACAGTTATACATGTATAGGA